GAGTTTCTATCCACAATATAGAAATAGCAACGCCTTCAAACTAGAAAGGAAAATGCCAACACAACATTCTTGAAGCTCCAAGTCAGTACAGACAGTTGTTACACAGGAATTGCTACACAGAGCTGGACCCAGCCCAGCTGGACAAGGGCCAGGACTGGGTCTCTGTCCAGGGTCCTGTCTGAAAATGCCGACACGCTTTTCACACTTCTTACTCAACAGGGCCATGCCTCTGGCCCAGGGTGCCCACAGGCTCTCAAACCTACTTCTGCAGACCTCACCTCCCTTCTTTCATCACATACAGTTGATATCAGCCAATGCTTTTAGGAAGCACTGCAAATCAAATACCCAGGCTAGCAGTGCATGTGTGTGCAACACGTTTGTGTCTGTCTATATATCCCCTTTGCACAGGCTCAAACCCCATGGCTTCTCTCAGAACTCAACACTGCCACTCGGATGGCCCCCCTTTCACCGGGGCTCCAACTCTGTCCTCCTGTCTTCCAGGCCCAGCTATTCTTACAGCGATGACGTGTGTCCATGCTCTGTGAGAAGGGCTGTTGCCTCATATGCACGCAAAGCCTATGTGTTAAGTAAAAGAATGAGTCTTCATGGGGGCGATCCTAAACACCTCTCATCACCAGTGCTTTCTGAGAAACTACATTTTGAACCACGAGAGCCCACTTTAATTTACATAATTATGTCTGTCTTCTTGTTGGAGTGAGCTCTTTGAGGTCAAGAACTATGCCCGAATCATCTCTGAATTTGCAGTACTATCATAACATTTGGCACGTTGCAGAAGTCGACAAGGGTAAGCTGTAGGGAATATATGCAACTGACACCCATTAAAATTGCCATTATTAAAAGGCCACACAAATACTTGAGGTTTGGCGATGCTGATAAAGGTTATAAGTGATATATATGAACTCTATGAAGAAAACCACAAAGTTGCTTTATTTAGAAAGATGAACATAAAAGAGAAACAGGCCACATTTCTAAGTGGGAAGGGCATGTATTATGTGAATTTTATTCTTAACCTTAGCGCTGTTGTTGCTGGCATTATGAACTGGCACACACCATTGGGGAGCAATAAAAGATTGGCAGCTGTTAGAAGGGAGGGGGTTGGATGGTGGGGTGAAAAAAAGGTGAAGCGATTAAGTAAAACAAAAAGCAAAAAAACTCAAAGACACAGACAACAGTATGGTGACCACAACAGGGAATGGGAGGCTAGAGGAGGCAGAAGAGGGTAAAGGGGGGATAGATGGTGATAGATGGAAACTTGACTTTGGGTGGTGAACACACAATACAATATGCAGATGATGTATTACAGAACTGTACATCTGAAACCTATAAAATTTTATTAACCAATATCACCCCAATAAATTAAAAATTAAAAAAAGAAAGCACAGCAGCCATTCCAGAGGGGGAAAAGAGTATATACAGTAGGAGTTATAAAACTGTTCCTACCCTGGCCCAATAACCTCACTCCTAGAAATAATTCAAGAGAAGAAAAAAAACAGCCATAAGCATTAGGATGGTCAGTAGAGCCCTACAGAACATAATAGAACATAACTGGCTGACTAAGTGATGGTCCATTCATTAGACAGAATAGTCCTCAGATGTTAAGAACGATAACAATGAAAGACGTGCAGAAGCCTGGCAAGATATGCAACACAATGTGAACCTTAAAACACAGAATGCAAGATAGTATGCTCACTTTGATTAACACCACGTGAAATATGCGTGTACATGGATAAGAATACAAGAATGGCCAAGTTTTTTTTAGCCATGGTTTTGGGTTTGGGTTTGAGGATGCGAAATTAAGAGTACTGTATTTATTTAACCTTTTAAATTTATTTAAACTTTTAAAGAATAGAATGTACCAAAAGCCTGTGTTGCTCCGGATACGCCAATGTGAAATGGAGTTATACACATTGTATAGGACAGGGTGCTAAGAAACTCCCCCTTCAACCTCCCTGAGCAGGTTCATCCCCAGAGGTCCCCCAGTTTAGAATTTGACCAAGAAGAGTCATCCCTCCTATGCAGTTGACTTTGTACATAGCAGGTGCCCAATAAATCAAAAATGGGTGGATAAATGGATGAGGAGAAGGAAGGAAAGAAAGTAAAGATTAGGAAAAGGCTTCTACACTGGTATAGTGCACACTGGCATAGTTCCAACAAAGGTTATGGATCTCGCCCTCATGAATCTGCTTACTTCATGGGAATAACTCAGCCGAAGATTAGCTTCCGTGCTCTGGCCTAATACTTTTGCCTAAGACTTCTTACCCTTCCTCCTGCAGATGACCCCTTGGGCTCTGGAAATTGAGCACAATGGAGAGGTAGCAAGATTAGGAGTAGGAACCTGCTCTATCACTAACAGTTCAAATTCCAGCCCATCACTTAATGGCTCCATAACCTCTGAGCTAGTGATCTTGCCTCCTTGGAATTTGCTTTCATCTATAAAATAAGAGAATAAATATTCCATTAAGTTATAGGGAAGAGTCACATCTTCCCAATGACATAAAACATCTAATAAATATCGGCATCTGCCCCTACCCCACGCTTTCTCACTGTCACAATTCTATAGGCCCCTGAGTTTGGTCATAGTCTCACTTAAAATGCAAATACCCAGATTTCTTCATATTTGGAATTTGGTAAGAGTAAATTATCCTAGACCAGTGCTTCCTGATCTTGGGTGGTGTTTTCCCTGGGCCTGTCACAACTGTTGGAGGGGCATGTGTGTGGGCTGCCGCCTTCGAGTGGGTAGAGGACAGGGGTCCTTCTGAACATCGTGCAGCACATGAGGCTGCTCCCAAAGAATCACCTGGTCCAAAATGTCAGCAGTGATGAGGTTGAGAATACTGATGACCCTATGACCCAATCCACTCCTCTGTCCAGCAATGCGTGTCTATGTGTCCCGGGGAGGGGCTGTTCGGGGGGAGAACTAGAGAGGACTAGTCAGGAGGTACTAGGAGAGGCCATTTCCCACAGCATCTCTGTGTAGAACACCTTCCTTTACCCCAACCCAAGCCCTATTTCTGCCGTGAGATTTTCTTTGAGCACCCAAGGGCCCACTTCTCCCTCCTTCGTCTCTCGAGATTTGTAACTTCCACTTTCCCCATCCTAGGAGGCCCTGTCCTCACCTTTCACACAGATGCCATAGACAGGAGGAACTAAGCAATGAGGACCCACACTGTCTCCTGGTGGTTTACAAGATGGCGAAGGCAAGCTTGCAATTCTGCAGTCTCAGCATATCTCTGATGAAGGCTGTTTTGTAACTGCTTTTGAAAGTGGCTGCTAATGGATTGATAATTGGTTTCCTGGCTATTTTGTGAAGTGTGAAGCACTCTGCTAGCCCATCAACAAAGCATCAAGTATTGTGCCAACCACCCACCACCAGAGTTATTTGTATCTTCCTCATTGTATCTCTCCTTGTGGAGGAATCAGGGGAATGGTTGCATGGCAAAGGCTCTACGCTTTTGTAGGAAAGGGGATGAAATGTCAGAGCTTGGGGCAGGTGAAGAACAAGTGCACCTGGCCAGAGGTTTCTCCCAGGACACCATGCTCCGCACATTGCCTGGCAGACTCAACAGCTGTGAACCCAGTGGACGGTGCTTGGCACAGGACAGACAGCAAATCCTGTTGAATGGATGGAGAGCGGTGCTACTTCCAACTGAGTCTGAGCAGGGATCCCTGGACAAGTGAATTAACCAGGGAGGAAGACAGACTCAGAGGGAAGACGCTGGCTCCACCTCTTCTTTCAAAATGCTGTGCACTGTGAGAAACATCATCTTCTTTAAAACCTCGTGGAAAAAGACCATCTATTGAGCGTCTACTACTGTGAGGGCAGCTCAAAAGCCAACACAATTATTCTGAAGTCTCTGCTGGCTACAGAAGATGTGCTGAAACATGAAGGAAAGCGTGCATTTGTGCAGTCTCGGCAGGGCGATTCTCTGGAAAGGAGTTGTTTTTGAAGAAAACGTTTCAAGGGAAGAACAAGGCACTGCTTTCTACTTTGGGGGACAATTGTTCAAAGAAATCTGAGCCATGAAAATATTTCCCCAACCCCCTTCTTAATTTCCAGAAGGAAAGAACAGCTTTGTTTGCTAAGTATTGCATTAATATTTATCATGACTAGTGCGGGGCAAAATTTCGGACACCTAAGCTGACGTACGCAGGAGAGGCGTTTGCATTTACATTATGACCGCTTTATAAAACACAGGGACTGACTGTACTTTTATACTTTTATAGATGCTCACAGATGTCCCTTTCCTATTGATCACATCATCATATATTTGATCTGGGGTCAGGAGCAGGACACCAAAGTTTAACGTTATCCCTCATTCAAAGTGCGACCTGCTGTGTGAATGACCCATTTTAGGAAGTGGTCTCCAAGCATTTATTGTGAAAAATGTGAGAACTGCTCATGTCAGGGTTCTCTTTTTCTTTTCTTCTTAAATCCTCACCTGAGGATATTTTTCCATTGATTTTAGAGAGAGTGAAAGGGAGAGACAGAGAAAGAAACATTAGTGTGAGACAGACACATCTATTGGATGCTTTTGCACACACCCCAACCAGGGCCTGGATGGAGCCTGCAACCCAAGTACATGTCCTTGACTGGAATCAAACCCAGGACCCTTTAGTCTGTAGGCTGATCCTCTTTCCACTGAGTCAAACCAGCTAGGGTGGTCCTTTTTTTCTGTAAATATAATCATAGAAGCTTAGAATTCTTGGAGCCAGAATGGAGAGTTACCTTTTGGATACATAGCAAAGGTGTCCTGCCACTGTCATGCAGCTGAGCTGGAAAGAAGAAGCATGTCTCCAATTTTGAATTCAAAGTTTTCTCAAGACTTGCTCATCACCATCCTTTCACCATTCATTAGCCTGTGAGCCTCCGCCCCCTCCCCTGGCAAAGCCTAGAACCTGTGGAAACAGCAGCTTGGGGGCTGGGAGCTCCGTGGAGTTGCCAAGTGGCACCCCTCACTTTCATGAAATACAAATGCAACCTTGCTGTGTGGTGCAAAGGCCTGGGGCCAACTGGCGCTCTCTGGCCTCCTCCACTGAAGCCATCATCCCTGAGACGTGAGCTGTGTCCTGCTCCGTCCAAATGACCAGGGAAACCTGAGTGATGGGACTGCCTTGGGATGCCATCCCGCTAGGTCTCAGAATCATCCAGAAAAAGAAACACTGTACTGGCCCCCAGAGTGCCTGCCTGCTTCACCCTTCTCATCAATAAGCCCGGGGCCCCTCCGCCTTATTTTACACCATAGAGAACACTGCCTGGTACTCGCCAGAACAGCTCTGCCCCCTTCTTCTCAGCTGTCTGCATCAGCGCCCAGCGCCCAGAAGCTACCAGCCTTGCTCCTGGAAACGAAGGGCCTGCTGGCCCTCTGCCCTTACTGAAGGTTCTAGAAAGATCTCCTAAAACTACTCCTAAGAACCAAAGGGTCAAGTAAGTCCTGGGAGGTCCTTTGTGACAGCACTTTCTCCCTCTCCCCAGGTAGCATTCTGCTACCTCCAGGTCTCAGTTTGTGGGGCATGGAACTTGATCCTGCTTGCAAGCAGCTGGCTGTTCTGCCAACCACTTCATTCCCATCAGCTCTCTGCCCTTTCCAGTTCTCCCTGCCTTACTTTATGTACTTGGATTTCAGAGATGAAGCCCCCTGGTACCCTGGACTCCCATAGCTTGTGCCTTGACCTTCTGAGGCCCTACCTCCAACCTGCCCAGCGGAGCTCCACTCCACTCACTGGCTCCTGCCATGAAGGGGGGGGGGGGGGGGGTGAGGGGTGGGGGAGGGGAGAAGGTCTCTATGACTGTTAGGCCCCTTGTTCCTGTCTCCCTGAGCTGCTTCCTGCTGGCTCTACCCCTCCAGTCCCCGTGGTGTGCAGTGTGCTATGAGGTAAACACTGCCAGGCACTCTATTCTAACCATGTCAGGCCACAGAGATGGGCAGATTTCATGCAATTTTATTATTTTCAATAAGAGTGATTTGTTTAATGTGTTCCTAAGAGTGATTTGATCTTTAAACCTCTGCAAGAATTTTTACATAAACTCACAAGTCATCAAAAATGCTGGGTTAAACTAAACAAAGTGATTTTTTTGTTGTTTGAAAAGTATAATCACAATGATGTGACCCAACTCACCAATTCATACACCAAACTCTGTCAGCACAGATGTTCCCTGATAGCCTCTAAGGCTGCAGTTCTCAACCTGTGGGTCGCGACCCGTTTGGGAGTCGAACGACCCTTTCACAGGGGTCGCCTAAGACCATCGGAAAACACATATATAATTAAATATTGTTTTTGTGATTCATCACTATGCTTTAATTATGTTCAATTTGTAACAATGAAAATACATCCTGCATATCAGATATTTACATTACGATTCGTAACAGTAGCAAAATTACAGTTATGAAGTAGCAACGAAAATAATTTTATGGTTGGGGGTCACCACAACATGAGGAACTGTATTAAAGGGTCGCGGCATTAGGAAGGTTGAGAACCACTGCTCTAAGGTTATTCCCTCCCCCAATGCTGGGGGCCACCATTCCCTTGTATTCAGCACTCAGAGGCCCCAAGAAGCTGGCTGAGAAGAGCGGAGGGTCAGGCTGTCTGCCCTTCCCCAAAAGAAGCAGATTGAAAGAGACGGAGAAGGCTGGGCAGTGAGAGTTGGGAGAAGAAGTGACAGCCCAGAAAAGCTGGATCCTTTGATTTCTCAATAGATACCAAGCCTGCACCACTCTTAGCTACACACAGTCTCCGCACACTTGCCAAATCCACTGGGACCCTGGACTTCAAGTATTATTTGTGCTGAAAGAATGACCATCCCATCAAAGAATAAGAAAGATGGGCCTCCTCATTATTTCCATAGAACAGAGCACTCAACTCCAACTTTCTTGCCAAAAGATCAATAATCCAAAGACAGCTTCCTCACCCTCCCTAAACCCAATCCAAGAGGAAGCAGTTTGAGAAAACTTCCTATGTCCTGGCAAGGCCATGGCTCCCCACAGCACTTAGAGGCTGGTACAGAGTCCAATCTTACAGGACTTCCTAGTCCCTTCCACCCTGGCTTGACTGTCTGGTGTCACTGGTGGCAACGAGGGTGAGGAGGAAATGTCTGGGTCTGAGCCTGGTGAACTGAGCCCCAGTGGCCTCTACCTTGCTCTCCAGGATCACCAGGGAGGGAAGATGGCATTGAAGAAGGCCCCCAAATGTCAAGGGCAACCCTTCTCAGTGCTACAGTCTATGTCACTGCCAGAAATGAGGACCCCACCAAGAGGGTCGTGAGGAATAGAAGAAACCAACCAGAGTGATGTTACGTCTACAAGGTTCCCAAGGATGAGGCCCCTGGAATAGCTGGGACCGGCCCCTGCCTCTGGGCGGAGACCCCATGTGGGCCCCTCCTGCTCACTTACACACACAGCCTGGCTTCTTAGCCGACCACTGATTATTCTTTTGGCACGTGATTGCCTTCTGCCCCACCAGCTCAAAGGCAGGCTGGCACTCAAACTTGAGTGTGTCACCGTGGCGAAAGCGAGAGCCTTCCCTCTGGCCATAGGCAGGCACGCCGGGGTCGCCGCAGCTGCCCTGCTCGATCTCTGAAAGACAGGAAGACAAGAAAACAGAGACAAAAGTTGACTTCATTCCCTTGTGGAGCTGCAGTCCTCGGCCACGAGTCAGTGCTTCCAGTGACACAGGCAGGTCTTCAGGGAGCAGCCCTGCCTCCGGTCAGATGCCCAAGCCCCAGTCCACAGAAAGTGCTCTTAGGTGCTGGGATGCTTTCACTCCGGGAAGGTGGGTCTACCTCCTTCTCGGGATGCCTGTCCCACCAGCTGACAAGCCCTGAAGTTTGGAGACTCTCTTGCTGAACTTGACTCTGCATGTGTATTCCTAACGCCACCTGACAGATCTTGAGTGTGGTCCATTCCTGAGCGGCAGTGGCAGGCACGAGATGAGAAGGCAGCTGATGCTTGGCTGCCTGCCTCTCCTCAAACCAGAGATTAAGTGAGAATCAATATTGGCTGCTTTCTGATAGGGAAGCACTTGCATGAAGGTATTTTTTTAAATTCAATTTGAGATGGAGGCAGGTAAAATGAAACAAATGACTTGTTAGCTATGCTTTTAAGTTCATCTGATTCAACAGTGGTGAGTCAGACTTGGGCTGGGTTCCCTGCGGCAGCTCTGGGGCCTGGGCTCAGGGGGTACAACGGGCTGGCTGCCTCACGGGAGAGTCATTTGGGACCCAGGCGCCCCAGGAAAGGAATCTGTCCTGGCCAAGACCCTGGAGTTTCCTCCGGAGGAGACACCCCCACTTCCACCAGCCCTGTGTTTGGTGTGAGAGATGTTGGTGGAGGAGGCAGGAGGGGAGGACGGGGAGGACAGAAGAGAGGGGAGGAGGAGAAGCTCAGCTCCCAGGGAGGAAGGCATCCTGAGGGGAACATCGGGAGTAATGAGTGAAGTGACAGATGGTAGGTGAGGACTGGAAGAGCCCCATGATTTGGGAGAGAGGGGGCTGGAGTAACGGCAGGTTTTTGGACACCTTCTCAGACTTGTCAGGCCAAAGGGACCCTGGCTTTTCTGTAGACATTATGGGCTGCCAGGAGCCACAGTCCCCAAAGTTGCCGTGTGTGACCTAACAGGCGGCCCTGTGCACTGCCCTATATGGACGGACACTTGGTTGTCACATTCATGCTATCCCCCAAAGCAGGGCCTTCAGCTCCCTGCTGAGAGCTGGCAGAAAGAAGGGTGTGTGTGTGTGTGTGTGAGTGTGTGTGTGTGTGTGTGTGTGTGTGTGTGTGTGTGTGTGGTGTCTCGGTCAAACATCTAGGGTCCTCGGGTGTGAGGGAAAGTGGGTGGACCAGGCCAGGTGCCAGGTCTAAGGGCTCATGTACAGATCGGCTCTCCCATTTCTCATCACACAAGTCCTCTGGGCCTCACCTTCTACACACACACCTGCTGAAAGCACCTCCGATCCCCTCTGATGCTGGCTTTCCTGTGCAGGGCCTGGGGGCACACACTGAGGCACTCCCGGGAAGGTGGTGGCTTTGCTCTAGGTCCCCAGAATGTAGGGTCTCCGAGGGAAGGAAGAAGGGGCCTCTGGGACAAATTAATCTGGAGAAGCAAGCAGTAAGGCCCTCCTTCTTCCAGGGGTTCCCTTTTACCCAGGGTGTGAGACCCTGGCAAGGACTGTCACTGCAGCCATTCAGAGACCGAATGGAAGTTACCCAGCATCTGAAGACAGCTGAATCCTACTCCGTAAGCTAAGACCCAGACTTAAGGTTGCTTAGTGATGTCCCACCGTGCTGTGGAAGATACACATGTGGGGTACACCTTCAATGTCCCTGCCAACAGCTGCTAGTCTGAGGGTGTGATCAGCTCAAGAGGACCAGCGTCCTCAGAGGGCGGGAGGAATCTGCCAGCTCTCCCCCAGGTGTAGGTATGGGCCTTCCCCCATGCCCACATCCACCCCATTTCTCCTGCCGTCAGTGCCACCAGAGCACCTGCTATGGCCAGTCCCTGTGCTAGAGACCAGAGATCTGGACTTGGGTCCTGCTGTCCAGGGCCGAACAACCTAGTTGTGATGGCGAGGGAGAAGGTATTTATGACACTGTGTGATTGTGCTGTGGAAGGGCCCAGAAGGATACCTAATGCAAACTTGGAGGGTGGGGCTGGAAACAGGATGTGGGGAGTGAGGCACTAACCTTGGGCACAAAACTTCAGGGGTCAGCAAAAGCTCAGGAATCAACACACTATCTTATAGAGTGTAATATTTTTTTAGGAACCCAAAATTAATGACTAGGAATGCAATCCAACATTAAGAAAAGTACCAAGACCTAAACTGAAGACCAGATCTGACCTTGCACTTGGATGACTCACCTCACTGGTCTCACCCTAGTCCTGATCATCAGAGCCTGTGGTTATTTCAAATGTTGATGTATTCAATCATTGACATTTTCCATTAATCTTGATTTTAAATTTACATTAAAATATTTGTCTTAATTACTGAGTTTTTTGGCATCCTTCAACTCCTTTAAATTTTATGCCCAAGGTGAATGCCTTGCTCCCCTCACCCCAGTCCCAGCCCTGGCATCAGGGAAGGCTTCTTGGAGGAGGTAATGTCTAAGCTGAGGCCTGAAGCCTGGGCAGGAGCCAGCAGGTGAAACGACAGGGGGATTCATTGCAGCATCATTGACAATAGCCAAGACATGGATAGATGAATGAATAAGGAAAATGTAGTGTACACACACACACACACACACTGGAACATTATTCAGCCATAATCAAGAAGGAAATCTTGCCATTTGTGACAAAATGAATGAAATTTGAGGGCACTATGCTACGTGACATAAGCCAGACAGAGAAAGATAAATACTGTATGATCTCACTTATACATGGAATCTAACAAATCTAAACTCATAGAAACAAAGAGTAGAGCAGTGGTTGCCAAGGCTGGGGTGATGAGGGAATGGGAAGATGTTGGTCAAAGGGTACAAAGTTCCAGTTATAAGATGAGTAAGTTCTGGAGACATAATGCACAGCATGGTGACTATAGTTCACAATACTATATTGTATATTTGTAAGTTGCGAAAAGAGTTGATGTTAAAAGTTCTCATCACACGCACACAAATTGTAACTATATGAGATGATGGTTGTGTTGGCTAATCGCAGTAACCATTTCACAATATATACGCATATCAAGTCATCATGTTGTACACACACTTACACAATGTTATCTGTTAATAATATTTCAGGGAAGCTGGGGAAAAAGAGAGGAATGAGTGGGAGAGAAGGGAGACGAAGCACCCTTGAGGTGGAGATGAGGCCATGCAAAGTCTCAGTGGTAAGACTGTAGGATTGCAATGGCAACAGTGATACTAACTGGCTAACAGTTGTTATAACTAATAACTCTGGTGCTGGTTATGTGCTGGCAGTCACTAGGAGCACTTTAGATAGATTGACTCATTTCATCCTTACAGTAACCCTGAGAGGTAATACTATTATAGCCATTTTAAAATGAAGGAAACTGAGGCACAGATCAATCATGTAAGGCCATAGAGCTAGAGAATGGTGGATCAAAGATCCAAATAGGTTGAATGGTCCCAGGGCTCCTAACCACTGTGCAATATTGCCTTTCTACATACAAGGTACTGTTGGCAAGATGCTGAGAGATGTGGCTGGAGAAAGCAACAGGGCCAACCCATAGAAGGGCCTGTGAGATCTGCTAATAAGAGTGAGCTACAGATAATAGGCAACTGGGAGTCCACAAAGGGGTCCATTCTATTTAGCATTTCATATTGTATATTCTGAAAGATCACCCCGACTGCTGTCTGGAGAACAGTCAGGAGCAGTCATTCTGGAGGCAGAGGGATCATTCATTCATTTAATAAATGCCTGCATGTCTACTTAGTGAGCCATTGCACCCAGCCCTGGGGGTTCACAGAGAATGGGGCAGACATAGCCCTGCCTGTCTGGAGCCTCCTTTCTGGTGGGAGGCTCACAGTAATATGGGAGGTGTTCTGGTAGCATCCCAGACTGGGCACGAGCAGAGGGGAAGGAAAGAGACAGAAAGATCTGGGAGGCCTGAAGCTAGAAGAAGCCATAGGCCCACTGAGAGTGAGGATACAGGGGGTAAGGGAGAGGCATGGGTCTACAGTGACGGGAGGGTGGGCCTTGGGCCCTGGGTGTGCTTCCACTAAGATAAGAATGCGGGAGGAGGGGCAGGTCTGGGGGTCAGCAGTAGGGCATGCTGAGTAGACACAGGCACATCCAAGTGGACACAGCTAGTAGAAAGTGGTGTCATGTGTCTTAAGTTCAGGAGAAAAATCTGCTCTAGAAATACAGAATTTGGATTCGGCTCACATGATAAAAGAAGCTATGCGAAGGATGAGACCACCCAAGGAGAGTGAGAAGAGTTGTCAGTCCAGGGCAGAACCCTTAGGACCACTGTAGGGACCAGCACAATGTTAGATTAAATCCTGGGGAAAGTGGGGCCACAGAAGCTTAGAGAAGAATGAGCTTCAAGGAGCTCAACAGCATCGCATGCTGCAGGGAAGTTTACACAGGACTGAAAAGCAGGTTAGTGAAGGTCAGTGGCGAGTTAGCGGGGAGTAGACTGAGTGTAACAATGGGACCAACACCTAATGGGAGAAGAGGAAGATGATACAGGAAGAGTGGATGCCACTTAAAAATGTCATTTCCTGGAAGTGACAGAATAGAGAGAAGTTAGGTGATAACACATGAGGAGTATGGACTTAAGGGGGCAGTTTAAAATATTTTTAAGATGGGAGAAACCTAACCATGTTTAAATGCCAGGGAAGGAGAGAGAGATATAGAAATAGAGATAAAGATAGAGATAGACACATAAAATATAGAGGTAGACAGAGAGGATGAGAGATATTACATAGTTAACTGAAGATATGGAGGATTAAGGGCATGAGACTCTAGAGAAGGCAGGAGGAATGGGCTCCCTTGTGCTCCCCTGCCCTGCCTGAAAGTCACTCACTGGGGCGGGGCCTGAGAGACCTGGGGACTCTTGGGGGGCGAGGGAAGAGGTGATTGCAATGAGTGTTGAGGTAGGATCACAGAAGGCTGAAGGAGA